AGTTATCATCACTTGTGTTCTTCCTATCTCTCCTTATATTCTCTTTGTCTTTCATTACCATTCCCAAAAATATTTGTGAAGCACTTAGTAATCTTGGATGGTGAAAACCATTTGATGAAATGTAGGCTCTCGAATGCAATGGTACTTAGGATTTGGTGCCTCTTCCTCTTAGGAAGAAGGATGTTGGTTGCAAATGGGTATATATTGTAATGGTTGGACCAAATGGAGAGGTAAACAACCTTAAGTTTAGGTTTGTGCCAAAAGGTTATACTCAAATATATGACCTTGATTACAATGACACTTTTTTCTCCCATGGCCAATATCACAATAATCTGTCTCACTCTTGCTATGGATGCTATCAAACATTGGCATCTTCTTATATATTAAAAATGCATTTTTTTATGACAATCTTGAAGAAGAATTTATATAGAAAATCTCCTAGTTTGGTTGCTCGAGGATGCTCTGGTTTAGTTTGCAAGCCATATCCACAAGCATGGTTTCGGAAATCGAGTCTAATTTTGCAATCCTTTGGTCTTCTACTTAGTGAAGCAAACCATTTTGTTTTTATTGTCACACATCTTCAAGTAAATTTGTTTATCTCGTTTTTTGTGTTGATGAATCATCATTACAGGGAATGATATTTCAAACTAAAGATCTTGGTAATTTAAAATACTTCCTTGGATTTGATGTTTCTCACAAAGGCAATATGTTGGGGATATAGACCTATTGATAGTCCCAATGATCCAAATAAGAAATTAATAATTGGTCAAATGGGAACCTGACATTGATCCAAAGAGATATTAGAGATTAGTTGGTGAACTTGTCTACCTCACTATAACTAAACATTTCTTTTGCAGTTGGGGTAGTTATTCAGTTTATGCAAGCTCTTCAGGTTGATCATTGGTTTGCATTCTCAAATATATTAAAAAGTCTCCAGGAGTTGTTGAATAAGATAAAGGAGATACTTAGGTAATTGTATATTGTGATGCTAATTAGGCAGGATTCCTTGGGTAGTGCCATAGTGAGGATGGTCAATAATAACAAATATGCTCTTCGTGGTAATTTATTTGTATTATCTAATTTATGGTAATTTGCAAAGGCTAGTAATGGTTTTGGCATAATGACCATAGTTGAAATTCCAAAACATTGGAAGGATTTTAAGGGGAAGAGGTTAGGAAATGGAAATAGGAAGAGATAAATGAGGGATCCAGAAGTAAATTTAAATGAAATACCAGGCATTCTCTTCAACAATGCAAAGAATGTCTGGTTTTCCATACACACACATGGTTTTATGTTGTTACAATTAAGCATACAACAAGTTATACAACACTTTCTGTCTATCTCTGTCCATGCCTCATTATTACATCTCTTACTTAGTTATTCAATTTGTTGTATAAATTGTTGTACAGATAATATTACTCATATACACACGTGTAACTGGGTTGTATAGCAAAGTTCTTACTCATTAGAACTTTGTTTATTTCAGAAATATGATGAGTGTCTTTTTCAGTTCCTTCCTGGACAGTGCTGTGGTATATTAGATGATTTTTTTCTTCTCATGGTGGGCTGAGATATAACTTATGAATAGTTTAATTGTCAAAATACCTTTGCAGGCATGGCATGGAAGGCAAAGACAAAGGGCAACTCGAGCAGAGAAATTGAGGTTCCAAGCCTTGAAGGCTGATGATCAAGAAGCCTACATGAGAATGGTGAAAGAGAGTAAGAATGAGAGATTAACTTTGCTTCTTGAAGAAACAAATAAACTACTAGTAAATTTGGGTGCAGCTGTTCAACGTCAAAAGGACAAAAAATATTCAGATGGTATTGAACCCTTGGAAGATTCCGAAGCTGACTTACCTGAGTCAGATGCTTTAAAGAATGGAGTTTCTAAGGAATCACCTCTTGATGAAGATATTGATATGATAGATTCTGATCATAATGGTGATTCCAGTGATTTACTTGAAGGTCAGCGGCAATATAACTCTGCCATACATTCAATTCAAGAAAAGGTACGTACTGATTGATCACTTAATTTTGCACCTCTTGGAGAAAAAAAGTGCAACGTTTTTCTGCACAGGGCTTTGTTAAAATTATTCCTTGCCAGACATTTACTATAATACTGATTTCGCAAATTAGACGCCTGGTTTCTATTTAGTATAATGCATTATTGTCTTTCAAGGGGGTTTCTTTTAGATGTAATTGAAGGAAATGTCAACCATACTTCATTGATATATTTTATTTTCTTTATTGTTTTGCACGTATGTTTAGGAGGATTCCTCCAAATTTTTTGTATTATTTCCTGTTTTATGAGTTTCTTCTTTTATAAGAAAAAGAGAAAAAAAAAAAGAGTCACTCTTTATTAGTTGTTTCTGAATAAAAATTGTAGCACACTGGAAATATAACAAACTTAGTTGTTTACAGGTAACTGAACAACCGTCTATACTTCAAGGTGGAGAGTTAAGACCATACCAGATAGAGGGGCTCCAATGGATGCTTTCTTTGTTCAATAACAACTTAAACGGAATTTTGGCTGATGAAATGGGGCTTGGGAAGACTATACAAACTATTTCGCTTATAGCATATCTTATGGAACACAAGGGTGTTACTGGCCCCCACTTGATTGTTGCTCCAAAGGCTGTTCTGCCAAATTGGGTCAATGAATTCACAACATGGGTTCCTAGGTATATCCAGTGCAGATATTCTAAATTATTTCTTCCCCTCTTCGCAGCAGGAAAAGATATACAAATCTGTTTGTGAATTATGTAAATTATAATATTCAATTTTAATTTTCAAAACTCAAATAACGTGTGCCTTCTCTTCTGATTTAGCATCACCGCTATTCTATATGATGGACGACTGGATGAGAGGAAAGCAATGAAGGAAGAGTTGTCAGGGGAGGGGAAATTCAATGTTTTATTAACACACTATGATCTTATAATGAGAGATAAGGCATTTCTCAAGAAAATTCAATGGAAGTACTTGATTGTGGATGAAGGGCATCGGTTGAAAAACCATGAGTCTGCACTAGCAAGAACTTTGGACAATGGGTATGATACCACTCAACATATATTGATGACATGGATTAATATGTTTATTTCCTTAAATTCTTGGTTATTATATCCATCTATTTTGGTTAGAACAACTGTACTGAACTAAAGAAAAATATATAATGGACAAAAGTAGATAGCTTTCAGAACATATAGACGGCCAACGTATTCAATGGTTGACACAATTCACTACATGATAGTGTGGTGCCACACAGGTGGTTTAGATCCTCTCTTCTCTAATTTTTAACTGTTTTTGGTGCAGCTATCACATCCAAAGAAGACTTCTGTTGACTGGTACCCCGATTCAGAACAGTTTGCAGGAGTTGTGGTCTTTGCTTAATTTTCTTCTTCCAAACATTTTTAACTCAGTTCAAAATTTCGAGGACTGGTTTAATGCCCCCTTTGCAGACCGGGTAGATGTATCCCTCACGGATGAGGAACAACTATTGATCATCCGGCGTCTACATCAAGTGTGTTTCTCTCTTCTAGTTTCCTATTCTCTTACACTTTTCCCCATTTTTCTGATGTGTTTCATTCCATCTTAGGTAATAAGGCCCTTCATATTAAGAAGGAAAAAAGATGAGGTGGAAAAATTTCTTCCTGGGAAATCTCAGGTCATACTCAAATGTGATATGTCAGCCTGGCAGAAAGTATATTATCAACAAGTTACTGATGTAGGCAGAGTTGGGTTGGACAATGGTTCGTGTCTATTTCTTGCAACTTTGTTATGAATTGGTGAAATATGACCATTTGTTACTTCAACATAAATGTGGCTTTCAATCACCTTATGGGTGTGCTGTCGTCTTCCTTTTTATTAAAAAGAAGTACCCAGCCTTGTAACATTACTTGTTTTACATCCCTGAATGATTGCCTGATTTCTTAGAACTTCCTAACAATTTTTTTCCCAAATATGTATATTTTACAGGTTCTGGAAAATCAAAAAGTCTACAAAACTTAACAATGCAACTCAGAAAGTGTTGCAACCATCCGTACTTATTCGTGGGAGAATATGATATGTATAAACATAAGGAGGAGATTGTCAGAGCATCAGGTAAGTTTGAACTTCTTGACCGTTTGCTCCCAAAACTTCGCAGAGCTGGTCACAGAGTCCTCCTTTTCTCACAAATGACTCGACTTATGGACGTCCTGGAAATCTATTTGCGACTTCATGATTTTAAGTATCTTAGACTTGATGGCTCAACAAAAACTGAGGAAAGAGGCAATCTTCTAAAGAAATTTAATGCTCCTGATTCCCCATACTTTATGTTTCTCTTGAGCACCCGTGCCGGAGGTCTTGGTTTGAACTTACAAACAGCTGACACTGTTATAATCTTCGATAGCGATTGGAACCCGCAAATGGATCAACAAGCTGAGGACCGAGCACATCGCATTGGGCAAAAGAAGGAAGTCAGGGTTTTTGTGTTGGTTAGTGTAGGATCAATTGAGGAGGTGATTCTAGAGCGTGCAAAACAAAAGATGGGCATTGATGCCAAAGTCATCCAAGCAGGACTTTTCAACACAACTTCGACAGGTTTGTAGTTTGTGATACTTGTGCCATGTCCTGGTAATATCAATAGTACTGTTTGGCCAAAGAGGGAAAGGGGAGGGGAGATTTTTATTTTTTTTACTGCTTTAGAACAAGCATTGTATTTATGTCAACCAATTGCTTTATAACCTTCATCTGGCAATTCTATGCATATAACTGCCTAACTGTCACCTGAGCTATGAACTAATTACATGGATAAGTAGTCCTTAATCTAAGTTTGTAGTTATTTGAAAATCCAATTTATTACAAGTCAAATGTTAGAAGATTTAAACTTTTAATTGGAATCATTTATTTTATACCATGCGACTGTGTTTACCATGTCCGTGCTCCTTAGGTCGTATTGCTAAATAATGAAGACTATTTGAACTAGTCGTATTTTTGTTTCTGCAGCCCAGGACAGAAGAGAAATGTTAGAAGAGATTATGCGTAGAGGTACAAGCTCACTTGGGACAGATGTGCCTAGTGAGAGAGAAATTAACCGCCTTGCTGCTCGATCAGATGAGGAATTTTGGCTGTTCGAGAAAATGGATGAAGAGAGAAGACAAAAGGAAAATTACAGATCCCGTCTCATGGAAGAGCACGAATTGCCAGATTGGGTGTATTCTCCAATTAACAAGGATGATAAGTCCAAGGATTTCAACAGTGCTGTTACTGGAAAGCGGAAAAGAAAAGAAGTGGTATATGCAGATACATTAAGTGATCTGCAATGGATGAAGGCTGTGGAGAATGGGGAAGACATATCAAAGTTTTCAACTAAAGGAAAAAGAAGAGACCACTTCTCATCTGACAGCATTGCACAAGCCAGTGATAACGCAGTAGCAGAAGAAAGTTTAGAGCTGAGGACTGAAAGTGTTCCCATGGCTAACGATCGAACTAGTGAAGATAGTTTCCAGATGACCCTTTCCTCAAAGAGATTCAAATGTGAAGGAACAAATTTCCTGAAACATACATACGAGGATGTTGGAAGTGGTTTGAATCACCATGTGTTATCATGGAATACTCACAAAAAGAAGAGGTCGAGTTTTCTCGGCCAGGGTTCATTATCCGATACGAGAGGGCATTCTTCAAATGGAAAAGCAAACTGGAATTGATTTGAGGTTAACTAGTCATGGCCTATGGAGTGCCAGAATTTTGCACAACTATTAAATGTGATTCTGCATGCCGATCTTACATAAAAAATGACAAGGAACTTTCGTGTATTATGCTAGATTTTTCTTTTATGTATGCAACATCCATATTTAGCTAAAAAAGTGAATGAAAGAAAATATTCAAGGTTAAGTTATATACTCAAATGTTCAAGGGTTTCATTGAGAAAACAGTCTCGCAATTTTCATCTAATAACAAGTTATTTAAAGGTATGTTTTGGTTTTGCTTCACGTTTAGAAATTTTATTCAAATTTTGAAGTTAACAACGATTATTACAACTGTTTTGTGGTTTAATGCAAAGGTGTCAAAGTTAGTGAAATTGACTCTTCACATTATATTAAAAATGAGTTTGTTCAACTTGATATTTTTTAGTGAGTGAAAAAATTATAATTCGGCTCAATTTTGGATATGGATTAATTTACTATTTTTTTTTAATTACTAAAATAGATTAATTAAAAGAATTCACTTACTAATATAAGTAAATTAAGTGAGTTTATTAATTAAAATATTTTTTAATGGATTTACACTAATATAAAAATAGAAAAAATTAAAATATTAAATATTAAAAAAATAGATCAATTTTTCATTAATTTTATTCAAATTTGTGTAACCTATAAATTAAGTAAACCGGATTTGTTTGAATCCATTATTTTTTTTTTTAATTTTCAACTTATTCCAATTTAAACCTGTGGTGAACCGTGTTATTTGAACGATTGAGACTCGTATGGACACCCCTAGCAAAACCAAAGTTTATTAACTAACTTGAAAACTATAATGATTGATTACTTCACAGTATAATTTACAAGCTCATAATTTGTTATAATTGCAATTTATAGATTAACACTTCTTAATAAAAAAAAAATGTTTGATTCCTCTCCCCCATTCTCCCCAAAAAAGCATGTTTTTTTCTTGAACATGATTTAAATTTATCCGTTTCAATATAATACTCAACTTGGGCAAAATTGAATTTCGGACATTCATATTTCTTCATTAACATGATTTTACTCTATTTCTTATGAATGATTTTTCTATCCTATGCATTAAGTGCACAGGGTTAAGTGGACAAAAGTTATTGTTTGAAAATAAGTTTTATGTTAGAATTATATAATCATTTAATGCTTAGTTTTTTAGTAACTCAACATTTTAGATGTGTTGAAGTTTCTGTAAGTTATGAACCTGGTAAGTGTGATAGAGAAACAGTTTTACAACATTATTCGAGGTTGAATAATCAATAGAAATTTATATAACGAAATAGTGAAACATTTTTAACTGGGGAGAAATGCTAATAACACATTTATTACTCTGATTAATATGCTTCATTTTTAAGTTAAGGGTTCATCTAATAATCATTTTGTCTATTACATAGTGTGTTAAAACATTTCTTTAAAATGGTAGGCAATACTGGATTATATATTTTTAAAACAACGTTGCCAATGACAACTAACGATAATAATAGCAATGAGTTTATTTTCTAGACGTTTCAACAAGTTCACACTTTAGGAATATGAAAACCATCAACATTTAACCGCAGATCTAAGCGTGTATTTTCATAATATGATTAATCATTTATGTTCATAAAGGGAAAGGTGCATTAGCTCCCGTAAACAGCTAGTAGAACATCTCACAAAAGCAGAATCATATGTAAAACAAAATAACACAACATCGATTACAAGATGTCATTACAGTAATGACTGCTAGGATGCAACTGAAAATAATAAAATCTAACTAAATTAAATGAAACTATGAAAGGATACATTGAAAACAAATGTCTGCTGTCTATTGATGCATCTTAAGATTACATACGAGTTAATTGTGCATGGAAAGTACTACAACTACTTCAGTTCATCAACTACAAGGTTCTTCATTTTGTATTCCAGTTCATCCGCAACTTCTTCAGATTCTTCATCGTTGTCTCCTCCATCAGGGTCGTTATCTTCTAGGGGACCGAGCATGTCAGGAGAACTTTTAAATATATCCGTCAACTCCTCAACGCCTTCATTGGAAATGAAATTCCCGTTAATATTCAGAAGTTTGAAATCAGCCTTTTGCACCACAGTCACAGCCAATTGTTGAGCCCCATCCCTGGTTATTTGGTTGGCACTTAGATCAACTACCTTTAACTGAGCATGACCTTCTATGGCTTTCCTTATCAGGTTGGCACCTTCATCCTTTAGTTCATTCTCAGAGAGGTTCAACTTATACAGAAACTGCTTTGCTGACAGGCAGGCTGCAATTGCAGGAGCAGCATCAGCTGTAATATCGTTCCCACTCAACTCTAAAACTTCAAGGTGAGGTGCTGATTCCTTAAGAGTATCAACTATAGCAATTGCACCATCATCTTCCAAGTTCAGGTCACTCAGGTATACCTCTCTTAGCTCTGTGTGCTTAGAAAGAGCTTTACTCAGAGAAACCCCACCTTCGGCGCCTAACATGTTGTCTCGTAGATCAAGCTTCTTCAGATGGGTACAATTCCCTAAAGCATCAGATAAGGCAACTCCACCTTCAGTGCCTATCCTAGTGGTGGAACAACGGAAATCTTCCAATGAAGGAGAACGCTTCACAATCTCAGCTATAGCTAGTGCCCCTTCATCTCCAGTCATATTATTATGAAAATGAAGAACTTTGAGTTTCTCTGTGAAAGGAATTAACTCACAAACTGCTCGAGCAGCTTCCTTAGAGATACCATCGTTGATCAGATAAAGCTCCTCCAAGCATTTCTGGGATTTCAAAAGTGCTCCAAATGCTCTTACACCTTTTTCACCTAATGCATTCTCAGAGAGGTTTAAAGACTTCAAGACACTGCCTTCAAGGGCAGTTGAGAATATCTTCATGACATCAAGAGCTTCTGCTTCTGGTCTTCCAGCAATAAAATCTGACAGATCTACTTCTACCAACTGGTCCTTGAGGGAAGTGAGAATGGGCTCTGCAACTTGTGCCGCTTCTAACCCAAAGCTTCTGTTGCTAAAGCATATTTTGGTGAAAGAATTCCCTGGCTCCTTCAATGGACTTAGAAGTTCCTGTGCCTCATCTGCTTCAATGAATGCCCTTTTGCCTTTAGATATATCAAAAACAGATTCATGAGGCACAGTGGTATGAACAGATGTCACCACTTCATCATCCTTTTTACCAGGTCCTCTTTTAAGAACCTCTAGGAGAAGCTTACTACATTCTTTGGCATAAAGCTGGACTGCAGAACCTCCATCACCATCTGGCTCTTTCTCATAGTGTAGGTTTGCTGTTGCAAACGCCTTATCCTCAATCATCTTTGCATTCTCTTCAGCCTCTTCCTTGTCCAAAGTCCCATACTTCTGTGTGAAAAGAGATTTAGTAGTCAGATTGTTGGTCATCCTCTCCACAAGGGTCTGTCTAGTGTTCTGACTAGGAGGCCATAATTTGATTGAAAATGGTCTCTGATGTGAATTCAGCTCCATGGGAATGATACCTACAAAAACAACTAGATTAAGTATATTTGTGGAATATTTGAGGAGACATAACCAGATTAGAAATTTATTCATGCAAACTAATTAGAGAGAACAAGTTTAAAGCAATGTCATTATAGATGCATAACCGCAATATGGTATCAGCCACTCAGACAGAATGAAACACTGAAGACGTCACTAGTTAATATTGCCGTCATTACAGAAGGTCCCACACTACAACTGTTGAAGACTTAACACAAACTAATGTTTTGAATGGAGAAGAAATAAATATTTAGCTGAACAAGACAGTAATAGAAGCAGAAGCAAAATAAATTCCCTTCCTGAAATGATTGTTGTAACAAATATCATAAAAACTCAATATTGATTGCAAAAACAAAGTGGGGACACTTTCTTTCCATTTCAATCATAAACTGTCAATGAAACTAATCAAAATTTCAAAACATGATGAAAAATGAAAAGAGTTAAAGTTTAGGAATGAAAACTAGCAAAACATGTCATGAATGTGTGTACGAGGATGTTTTCTCGGAAGAGAAAAGAACACCCACAAAACCGTCGATAGATAGTAATAAACAAGCGACAAACACTTTGGTTTGGTTCATTTCACCTACAAATCAAACTTACCCTACTAAAAATCTTAGCTTTAAACCAGAAATGCAACAGATCTGAGACTAGGCAAAGCTACAAACATTAAACACAAATTTGAAAGCCACTGAAGAACACGCAATGAACTGGGAACATGATAAACAAGAATAGCTAGAGACAAGTTTAACAAACCGCAAAAGAGAGAAACAAAAACCTTATACATGAGAAAAGGGTACCTCCTTTTTTTTGTTGATCTGAGAATTTGTTAGCCCTCTACTGCAGTTTACACTGTAGTTCGCAAAATCTTTAATTTGAATGGTCCAGCCGTACAGTGATTTCAGAGAGAGGAGAGAGAATGAGGAGGGAAACGTTAGTGAAGCTAAAGAAACGGATCAAAGGGAGTGCATTTTGAAGCACAATGACAAAAAAGTGTCGTTTTTAAAAGTGGCGTGCCCATTGGTTGCCATTATTAACCCCAACCCTAAAAAGTACACATCCCAACAAAATTTGAATTTGTTGATACTCCTCCTGGAACTAATTTTAACATCGGAAACTTGTTTTCAATGATTGTGGCTGTTTAGGATGAATCACAAATAGGTAAGGTATGATAAATTGTTAATTCAGTTTTTTTTTAAATTACCAAATTTTATTTGATTTCTATGTAAAAAAATATAGTTGTTACGTTCTGCTAAATTTTGTTAAATTATTTTGTAATTATGTTATATTTTAAAAACCAATTTAATATTAAGTTAAAGATTATTTATTATTAAGCTTATGTCTGAATTAGACGAAGGAAATTGAGAGAATGAAAAAGAAAAAGAAAAACAAAATGTTTGATTAAAGAAAGAGATTGAAAATAAGTAAAGAATTATAATAATTAAATATATTTTATTTTAATCTATTTTATTTTAAATTTCAGCGTCTTTCTTGTTTTATTGTGAAGCAAGTTTTATACGTTGCTATATGCGCTTTTTATGTCTGTAATCCCAACAACAACTAATAATTATATTATCTTTTTTTTGCTTTAATTTTTTTTGGCAATTGGTAGACTAATAAATATAACGACAATTATTTTTATAAATAAATAATTGTCAAAATATTATAAATAAAGATAAAATTGTACACATGAAATAGTTAAAAAAATAGTATTATCTTATATATCAGTGTAAGTTATAGAAAAATTTGTAATTTATATGTGAAAATATTTCTTTAGTTTTTTCTTAATGAGATTTTATTGATACGTGAATTCATAATACTAAATAATCTTTGCACTGTAATATAGTTATAAATTAACTTGATTATCTATAATCTCTAACTGTATAATTTTTTATATATATATTTTTGGTGTTATCAAGAGAGAGAAAAAGTGTTCTAATTAAAAACAAATAACTATTATAATTTATATATTTAAAAATAACAAAAAATATAATATGTAATTAATGAAGAAAAAGTTGATATATTTAAGAAGTAAAATAATAATAATAATATTTTAAAATAAATTAATTATAAAAGAAACTATGAAAATGTAAAAAAATTTAATATATGTATTTCCACTAGTGAATTTTCCAAGATATTTAGTAATTGGCATTCACTATTTCATTAGTATGCAAATTTTTCTTCTCCTAATAGAATTAACATATTTTTTTGTACAAATGCATGTATCGAAATATTAGTATAGTATTTACACGAGAAAAAAAAAAAAAAAGAGGTTATCAATGAATAATTTTGAAAATTTACTTTTTTATATCCACACATCGTTTTCTTTTAGTTTGATCATTCTAAAGAGTATTTTTTCTAATAGTTAAATTAAAAATGAAAAATAAAACAATAACGAAAATATGTGTTCACGGTTTGAAGAAAACAAGACAAAAAAGTTAAGTTTGTCCTGACCTATATGGTTATGTCTACATAAAAACTCCTTGTTAAGGTTTGATTTTATGTTTTTTTATTCACACACGCATATATATATATATATATATATATATATATATATATATATATATATATATATATATATATATATATATTATTCTTTGATTTTGGGTAAAATATTATCAAACAAAAATTTGAACATTAATTTGTTACATTATGGGATATTAATTCTTCTGGTTGGATTTAGGCTTTTTCATTTGATATATTATAACTTTTTGCATATTAATGATTACTCTCTAATTTTAAATAAACCAACAATCTTATGCATAAAGAAAATCAATACAAGCAACTCGTGTATAACTTACTCATTGACACTTCTATAAATGATTGAAATTGGAAACCAATATCATTCCTACATTCATTTTGGTGTATTCTGACAAAATTTAAATTTTAAATTAATATCCACAAAAATTAATAATATTTGAATAATCAAATATAGTTACTTATGCAATAAAAATAATCCGAAAAAGATAAATGATGAAAAATAAATATTGATGAATTGTGTAATATGAAATAATATATACAAATTATTTGCTTTCTTTTTTGGAGATATTTTTTTTAGCCTTACCTCGAGAGGTTCTTCAACCATTATGGTAATCTAAAAGTGGGTCTTTGAGTCTTTTAACAGTCTCTTTAATCCTCAGACCAGGAATAACTAAAATGTTGATAAATTTTTTTTTTTACAGTCAAAATGTTGATAATTTAAACAATGAATTATTTGACCTGATCGGTTGGATTTACGAGTTAATTGGGAAAGGATTTGCTGATTGAAAGTAAATGGTTATCGAGACATGAATAAAATTGATGTTTGGAAAGGAAAAAAAAATTATATATATATATATATATATATATATATATATATATATTGTTATTAATCATATTTAAATATTTTTAACATCTTCATCATCATAATATATAAATCGTATATATTAAATTTGTTATAAATCTATATTTGATGAGATCCATATTTTTTATTAATGAGATAAGAAAATCAATGTAAAATTCTCTTTTTAACTAGAGCATGATATCAAAATTCTTACGAGATATAACTATTTTTATCTAATTTGTGAATTAAAAAAATACATTGACATAATTAATAAAAATAAAACTATGACACCCAATAAAAGTTACAAATGTAAAATTCTAAAGAAGAGATGATATGGGAGAGAAAACAAGAATCTATGAAAGGGAAATAATGACATAAATGGTAGTGAAATAACATTACAATGAAGGGAAAGGTCAGAAATTGGAATAAAACATAATTCATGCAAATTTTTTTATACCAATAAATAGTATGTCCATTAGGATGGGACATATTAAAATTTATGCTATAAATATCATGTTAAAATAACCGATAAAAAGACATATGAATAAATTTTTGATATATATTATTTATAATAAATGAATAAATATTCATAAATATCATGATAAAAAAAGACAAACTTAAATCCTTATATTTAATTATTTTTTGACACTAGGTAAATCCACTTGCTAGATAATTTTTAAATATTATTATTATACTTTTATTGTTTTTAGTTTATTCAAAGGTTTAGATTTGACATTTTCAAGAAGTAAAAATATATATATATAAAAACACTCTATGTGATTTTAGTTTAAATATCTACTATGAATTAATGTTTAACTTAAATCTCAAACAAAAAGAACAACAGGGTTTGTATTCTGGTCCTACTGTGTATATAGAGAAATTTTTTAAACAGGAAAAATTAATGTGATTCTTGAAGAAAACAGGAAGAATAAAATTGGGCAAAAGTTATTCTTTGACAGCAAATCCTAATCCACAAAGTATGCGGTGTTCAAACAAGAAGAAGCCATGCGGGTGATCATGTTCTTAGAATTCTCAGTTTCAGGATGATAAATCTGAAAACAGTGTTCCTTTCCCTCCACTTCGACCAGTTCCACGTCACCCTTCCACCCACTTTCCTTAAAAGCATCATAGTACCAAATTCCTCTGTCCCTAAGATCATCCTTCCCCGCCACAAAAATCAACATCTTCGAGCAACCAAGGGAGGCCAAGCTAGGAGCCCCACCAGCCAAAGGATTGATCAAAGGGTTATCAATTCCACGTGGTGCATCAAGGTACACAAACCTGAGCTCTCTTCAAACGGTTCGGACAAAACCGGTTCAGAGCTCCAAAACAATGGAAAAGCAAGAACCACACCCCCTATCTTCACACCGCCAAGTAAACCCTCACTCTCAACACCCACACGAAGAACTACATTGTGTGCAATATTGGCACCTGCAGTGTCACCTCCTATGTAAAACCTGTTAAAATCACCGTGGTTTATCAACCATGGTTCAACGTTGGTGTTGTTAGAATGAGAGGTTACCCATTTGAGAGCTTCCGAGCTATCTTCATACGCTGCGGGAAGAGGGTTCTCTGGGGCGAGCCTGTACCCCACGGAAACTACGAGAACCTTGGCTTTGAAAGCTACGATGTTGAGGTAGCGGTGGTGGAGAAAGGAGAACGCGGATTCGAGGCAGAACGCACCGCCGTGGAAGTACACCAGGATTGGGATCTTTTCGGCGGTGTGGGAGTAGAGTTTCGGGAGGTACACGCGCGCGGAGATGGAGGGGTTTTCGGAGATTACTATGTCTCTGGATGAAACCAATGTTTCGGGATTGTCGAGGGAGGGTGGCTCTGGTGGTGTTTGAAAAGTAAAAAACAGGTGGTAACGTGGATGGATTGCAAGTGATGAAAATAAGAAAAATTGGAAAGTCTTAAATGTACAGTAATTATTTCTTTTGCTATCACAAATGATCTTTCACTTTATTCATTTTTATTATCCAATTATAAAGCAATATAAGAGTTAGCCAATAAAAAACAGAAAGAAAATAATTTAGTTTCTGGGTGTAATTGGGTTGAAAGTTGAATGTTTTGAGAATGTTTTGTAAATATATGTGTATTTTCTTTTCTCCCAATAAAATATCTGCAGTAGTTTGGAGACGTAGGCAATTTTGGCTGAACTCTATTATCAATTGGTGTGTCCAATTATTCTGTTTTTATTTCACTTTCATAGATCTGACTAGATAGAAAAATTCTGTGTATTTTTCCTAACAACTGGTATCAGAGTTGGTTGTTAACTCTGTAATTTTTGTGGTGATACTATTCATATGAATAGTGAATTTACTATTCTATGAATAGTAAAAACGTGAATACTAAAAATTTTGTCGGTACTACAAAATTATCTATAGACGTGTTCCGAAACATGGTAGTTCACAGAAATTGTCAAAAATGATCCAAAAAAGTCAGATCCGAGTTGGAGTGATGGCTGCAGATGAAGGAAAGATGAAAATCGAGAAGTTCGATGGTGCGGACTTTGGGTTCTGGAAGATGCAAATCGAGGATTACCTGTATCAAAAAGATATGTTCGAACCACTCACAGGAAAGAAACCAGAGGGTATGAAAGAGGAGGAATGAACTTTTCTCGACAGAAAGGCCCTTGGAGCCATTCGACTGACGTTATCCCGTAATGTTGCTTTTAACATTGCAAAAGAAAAGATAACAACAGGTCTTATGGATACTCTTTCCAGTATGTACGAGAAACCATCAGCCTCAAATAAAGTTCATTTGATGAAGCGGTTGTTCAATCTACGGATGTCTGAAGGCGCTTCAACGGCGCAACATATCAATGAACTCAATACTGTTACAACTCAGTTGAGTTCAGTTGGGATCGAGTTCGATGATGAAGTACGAGCTTTGATACTTTTGTCTTCTCTACCAGAAAGTTGGAATGCTACTGTCACAGCTGTGAGTAGCTCATCGGGAAGCAATAAGTTAAAATTTGATGATATTCGTAATTTGGTTCTCAGTGAAGAGATCCGACGGAGGGAGTCGGGTGAATCATCAACCTCTTCAGTATTGCATACAGAGTCAAGAGGAAGAAGTTCAACCAAAGAAAGCGGAAAATCAAAGGGCAAATGATCCAAGTCCAGAAATCATCGTAGTTCCTAAAACTCGAAGCAAATCGAGTGTTGGAATTGTGGGAAGACCGGGCATTACAAAAATCAGTGCAAGAATGCACGAAAGAATCAAGAAGCGAAGGACGAGACAAACGTTACCTCTACCTTAGGGAAAAATGATGTGTTGATATGCTCTTTAGAAAGCAAGGAGGAGTCTTGGGTGTTCGACTCTAGAGTATCTTTCCATGCTACCTCACAAAAGCAACTGTTTGAGAATTATGTTCCCGGAAATCTTGGTAAAGTTTACCTTGGTAATGAGCAATCGTGTGAGATTGTAGGTAAAGGTACAGTAATATATTAAGTTGAACGGGTCTGTATGGAAATTGAAAAATGTCAGACATATTCCCGACCTGACGAAGAACTTAATCTCAGTGAGTCAGTTAGCCAGTAAAGGTTACACAACAATCTTCCACGGTGATGATTGGAAGATCTCAAAGGGTGCGATGACAATTGCTCGAGGCAAAAAGAGTGGTACTCTTTACAAGGCTGTAGGAGTATGTCATTTGATTGCGGTTGCAACAAATGAAAATCCCAATCTATGGCACCAAAGACTTGGGCATATGAGTGAGAAAGGGATGAAGATCATGCACTCAAAAGGAAAACTACCAGGTCTTCGATCGGTAGAAATTGACATGTGTGAAGAGCGCATACTTGGAAAGCGAGAAGAGAGTTAGCTTTCGGACAAATAGAAGAATTCCAAAGAAAGAGAGACTTGAGCTTGTCCCCTCGATGTTTGGGGTCCAACGACTGTCCCATCCGTTGGTGGGAAGCAATACTTTGTGACGTTTATCGATGATTACTCCAGAAAGGTATGGGTTTACTTTCTGAAACACAAGTCAGAAGTATTTGAAGCTTTCAAGATTTGGAAAGCTATGGTAGAAAATGAAACAGGATTGAAGATTAAGAAGCTCAGATCTGACAATGGTGGTGAATATGTAGACACCAGATTCAAGAAGTTTTGCTATGAGCACGGAATCAGAATGGAGAGGACCGTGTCTGGTACGTCTCAACATAATGGTGTAGCTGAGCGTATGAACCGAACGTTGACTAAAAGAGCCAGAAGCTTGCGTGTATAGTCAGGCTTACCAAAGTCGTTCTGGGCAGAAGCAGTTAACACAGCAGCTTACTTGATCAACCGAAGTCCATCAGTACCATTGGAGCACGGAATACCGAGAAGAGGTATGGAGCGAGAAAGAGGTAAAACTCTCACATCTTAGAGTTTTCGATTGTGTAGCATATGTCCATATCGGTGATCAAGGTAGAAACAAACTTGATCCAAAATCAAAGAAGTGCACTTTCATTGGTTATGGTGAAGATGAGTATGGCTACCGCATATGGGATGATGAAAACAAAAAGATGATCCGCAGCAGAGATGTAATCTTCAATGAAAGAGTGTTGTACAAGGACATGCATAAAACAGGTATTAGCAATTCAGAATCGAGTGGGCCAGTTTTTGCAGAAGTGGAAGATGCCCTAGAAAATCCTATAGTGAGGAGTCCTCAGTCAGAGGAATCAATTGAAGAAGGTAATGTGCAACCATAACCTCTTACTCCAACTCCTGTATTGAGAAGGTCCTTTAGACCTCATGTGCCAAACAGGAGATACATGGACTACATATTGCTGACTGATGGAGGGGAGCCCAAAGATTATATAGAAGCTTGTCAAACCACAGATGCTAGCAAGTGTGAGTTTGCCATGAAAGAAGAGATGAAGTCTCTGATCTCCAATCAGACATGGGAACTAGTCAAGTTACCCATGGGGAAGAAAACACTTCACAACAAATGGGTGTATCGGGTGAAGGAAGACCATGATGGTTCCAAGAGATACAAAGTCCGACTAGTTGTTAAAGGATTTCAGTAGAAAGAAGGAGTTGACTACACTGAAATATTTGCTCCAGTCGTAAAACTCAATACTATTAGGACAGTATTAAGTATTGTGGCTAGTGAAGAGCTCTACCTAGAGCAATTAGATGTGAAGACTGCATTTCTCCACGGAGACTTAGATGAGGAGATCTACATGCACTAACCTGAAGGATTTTCAGAAGGAAAGAAGGATATGGTGTGCAAATTGAAGAAGAGCTTGTACGGTCTGAAACAAGCTCCAAGACAGTGGTACAAGAAGTTTGAAAGCTTCATGCATAAGGAAGGTTTCCAGAAGTGCAATGCCGATCACTGTTGTTTCTTCAAGAGGTATAAGTCCAGTTATATCATATTGCTACTTTATGTTGATGACATGTTAGTAGCAGGTTCAAATATGAGGGATATCAGAAATTTAAAGATGCAGTTGTCAAAGGAATTTGACATGAAGGACTTAGGACCAGCAAAGAAGATTCTTGGAATGCAAATCACGAGAGATAAGCAAAAAGGAGTTTTGCAGTTATCTCAAGAGGAGTACATCAACCGTGTTTTGCAAAGATTTAACATGTACAAGGTCAAACCAGTCAATACACCTTTGGCCAGTCATTTTCGTCTATCCAAGGATCCGTCTCCTCAAACAAAGGAAGAAGAAGAAATTATGGCTAAGATTCCGTATGCTTCAGCCATTGGAAGTTTGATGTACGCAATGGTCTGTACAAGGCCAGACATTGGCCATGCAGTGGGAGTTGTGAGCAGGTTTATGGCAAATCCAGGAAAGGCTCATTGGGAAGCCGTCAAGTGGATTCTAAGATATCTACGAGGAACAACAAAAAAATGTCTGTATTTTGGAAAAGGAAATCTAAGATTACAGGACTACGTAGATGCAGACTTTGGAGGTGAAGTTGATCACCGAAGAAGCACCACCGGTTATGTTTTAACGGTTGGTACTACAGCTGTTAGTTGGATGTCGCGAATACAAAAAGTTGTTGCTTTATCCACTACAGAGGCTGAGTATCTAGCAGTGACAGAAGCCAGTAAAGAATTGATATGGCTTCAAGGACTGTTAGCAGAGCTGCGATTCACTCAAGAAGGGAGTGTTTTGCATAGTGATAGTCAGAGTGCAATACATCTGGCAAAGAATTCAACATTTCACTCCAGAACCAAACACATTGACATTCGTTATCATTTCATCAGATCTCTACTTAAGGATGAGGTGTTAACATTGAAGTAGATTGTAGGAAGCAAGAACCCAGCATATATGCTAACGAAGGTGGTGACCATTGACAAACTGAAGTTGTGCTCAACTTCAGTTGGCTTGCAAGAGTAGCAGACCAGAGAAGACTACTGCATTAATCAAGGTGTGAGGACAGATTGAAATCAGTCCTCAAGTGGGAGATTGTTGGTGTTTAAAAAGTCAAAAAAAGGTGGCAAGTGGTTGGTTGTCAAATGGTTGGATGACAAGTGGTTGGAGACAAGAAAAATTAGAAAGCCTTAAATGCACAAGAACCATTCTTTTTGCTATAAAATGCTCTTTCACTTCACTCATTTCTATCATCCAATTCCAAAGCAACCATTACAAGAGTTAGCCAGCAAGAAGCAGAAAGAAAATAATCTAGCTTCTGGGTGTAATTGGGTTGAGGGTTGAGTGTTTTGTAAACACCTGTGTATTTTCTTTTCTCCCAGTAAAATATCTGCAGTAGTCCGGAGACGTAGGCAATTTTGGCCGAACTCTGTTATCAATTAGTGTGTCCAATTATTTCGTCTTTATTTCATTTTTATTTCAATTTTATAGATCTAACTAAACAGAAAAGTTCTGTATATTCTTCCTAAGAGGCTCGTGCGGAGAGCCTAGGAGGCGTTCCACGGTCCCGTCGTTGTAGAATCAGAGGAGAGATCTCTTTGGGGATTGTTGAAGCCATTGAGGGAAGAGAGCAGAAAAAAAAAAATAAAGATACAGAGAAGAGAAATGGTGCAAGAAAACCACACACTATGTCTGGGAGTTTAATAATGAATAAGAGTGAATACCAAATTGGACTGTGGATAACTTGGAATATGGTTCAAAATGTGTGACCTTAACAGTAAATAAATAGGGATCATACAACTAAAATCACTCTCAAACAAAACAAAACATGGACTACACAAATCTCTCTCTATATATATATATTTATATAATTAATAAATAATAATTAAAAATTAATATTATATTATTAAATAAAATTATCTAATAGTTCTTTGTAGAAAAAAAATTGTTGTCCGTCAATTTTTTTCAGTAGTAATAATAAGACCAAACTTGTGCTTGACCATGCATTTTAGGAGGAGTGAACTCTTTTCATTTTGGTCCACGAAAAAGGAGATGGATCGAGTTAACCCGTTATAGTTATAGTTGTAGTGGGTAATAGATATCAGTTATTATTTATTATTTTATTATTTTAAATTAAATATTTTAATAAATTTAATAATAAAATTATCATTATTAACTATTTAAAAAAATATATATATATTCTAAATTAATATTATAATTAAATTAAAATAAAATTTATATAATATATATATATATATAACAGTAAAAATTTATTAAAATTTTTTTATATTGAAAAGTTTAAATATTTAAATAAAAATTACATTATATTTATTTATTTGATAAAATTTTATATTGTTCTCCTATTAAATAATTCTCACATTTTCAATTTAAACAATAAATGTCAAGGATCATTAGATATAGTATTTTAAGATCTTTCCTGTTTTCCACCTTTGTAATTTTTTTTCTCATCTTTAACAACACATAAAATAAAAAAAAATAATAAAAAAAGATTATAAAAAATAAAAATAAATAATATTTAAATGAATTATCTTCGTAAAAGTTATGTTTCCAATTTGAAGTACAAATTATTATTTCTATATCCTAAGTAAAAGAAGATTTTTGTGCTTATTAAAAATTCTATAACTAATATTGAATATAGATTTAGAAACAACTGCTGTAATATGTATACTTAATAAATCTCTAATCAATAATAAAATATTAAAAAAATATTGACTATTATTCTTCCACCATTGTAGAATATTCATATATTTTAGAAAATCAAAATTCAATATTAACTCGTTCAAATGTACATTAAATTATTAACTTAAAACTTGTACTTTTTTAATTTCTAATTTAATAAATAAATAAAGAAGTTAAAAATATTAATTAAAAATTTATAACAAATAATTAACTTAGAATAATTAATTACAAACTTGATTTAAAGATAAAATATTAACATGTTTGTGTTTCAGATTATTTAAAATTATACTTTTGCTATAATATTAAAAAAAATATGTACAATTTTAATAAAACGACCAACAATGAATTGACAGACTTAACAAGACGAACTCAAAAAGACTGACTGAAGTAATAACCCGTATTGGCATTGGCTGAAGTCCGACCCGCCGTGATGGGCTGGAGGTCCGGCCCGCGCGACCTGACATGTTTTGCCTCCCTATTGCTTATGCATTCTACCTACCGCACAATTCCCAGCAAAAGCCAAATTAGAGTCGTAAAACGAAATTGGTTGATTTCAAATATTTATTTCTGTAGTCGTTTGATTAATAGAAAATTATGAATATTAAATTACCTGAATTGTTTCAAATTTTAAAAAATTATAAAATATAAATTTATTGTCCTATATCACTTTTTTTTAATTATAGTACCATTTATTTAATGAAAAATTACTTCAAATAATTAGTCTTTATTTAAATAATTAGTCCTTATATTTAGCAAAACTGTAATATTTAATTGTGAAAATTACCAGAACAGACATGTTCCTATGTTTGTGGGAAAATTCCCTTCAGTTGCATATCATATACCCAATCTTGGGAACTGCATAATTTTCTTTTTCACGTATAACCCAATCAATTACAAAAGAATAAGGAAAAGATTATTTCACAACCCTTTTTAAGAAAAATCCACATATTCATTAATTATATAATAATAATTTCAAATTAATTTTATTTTAATTGAATATTTTTATGTTTATAATATTCATATCATTTAATTATATAATAATTTTAAATTATTTTTATTTTGATGAAATCTTTTTTAATTATAATATTAATAAATTAAGCTGTGTAATGAATATTTTTAATATTATTAATGTATTATTATTCAAATAATAATTATTTTTATTATTATTATGGTATTATTAAAGAAAAATGATAATTTGATATTTACACTTAATCAAACATCCTTTAAGAACTTGTTAATTAATATAATATTAATAAAAATAAAAATATTTATATGTTTTATATATATTGTTGTTGAAAGGTGAAGAAAAAGAAAAAGATATTTTTACATTTTAAATATTCTAACATCATCCAATTATATTAATAAAATAATAAATATTATTATTATTATATTAATAAATATATGTTGTAGATAACGTTGAGCTGTCAAAGAGTATTTCAAAAGTAAAAAGATAATATTTTTTTAGATGAAAACCTTGAATGGGTTGTGAATGTGTCAGAGTCCATTATTAGATCAAGGACCATAGAATGATTGGTTGGTTGAAACACGTCATACATATCATTACTGATTGCAGAAATGAGAAGAAAAGAAGGGAAGAAATGGGCCTTTTTACCATACTCAAAAACAAAAAATGTTGGTTTTGTTGAAAATTTTTAATTTTATCAAAATGGGTTGAATGGGGTGAGACGGGACGAGTTGCACAATTTTAATTAATAATTATGTAATTTTCTTTTTTACAATATGTTTAATAGTATGAATTTCAAATAATTTATATTGAATTTGTTAATATGAGTTTTATGTTATTTTTTAAATAGGATTTTTTTATTTTTTTCAAATATATTATTTCTATTATTATTAGTTATATTGTTATTTCTATTATTATTATTATTATTATTTTAAATATATTATAATATTATTATTATTTCCTGTTTTTCTACTATTTTGTATTTTGTTTTGTTAATATTGTTATTATTAATATTTATTATGTTAGTATTATTATTTTCTGTATTTTTCATTTTTTTATATGATTATTATTATTATTATTATTAATCATATTATTATTAATATTTTTTCTTATTTTATGTTATTTTGCATTTTGTTATGTTACTATTATTAATATTATAATTAATATTTGTTCTCTTAATATTAATTTTTTCTGTTTTTTATTTTTTCATATTAATATTAATGTTAATATTATTATTATTATTTAATAAATAATATATTTAAAAAAAATTAAAAAAATCCTTTTTAAAAAAAAACTACAAATTATTTGAAAGTTCAATTTAATCGTGAGAACTTTATCCACCTCAAACGATTTAACCGATTTTGATAAAATTAAAAAAATTTACCCTTAAGTAAAATCAACATTTTTTTTTACCATGTTTGGTAAAAAAGCCTAAGAAATCACAAGGCTGAGAATAAGGAATACAATATTTAGATACAGAAGAACCTAGCTCTTCTTCCATCTGAATATGTTCAGTCATAACATAAGCCATTAAAACAAACGAAGCATTCTTTTATTATTGTTATTCTCACACTACAACAGAACAAGAGAAAGACATCTTATCTACTGATGCAGAAACAAATTCATGCGTTTGATCAGCTTCATTGCATTCTCAGATTCCGGATGGAAAATATGATAAACATGATCCTCACCATTCTCCTCAAACAGTTCCAGTTTCCCTTGCCACCCACTCTTCCTCACACCCTCATAGTACCAAACCCCTCTATCCCTAATTTTATCCTCGCTAGCCACGCACACAAAGATCTTGGAACACCCAAGTCCACCCAAGCTTGGTGCCCCTGGAGCCAAGGGGTTGACCATGGGGTTATCAATGCCACTTGGCGCAGAAGGGTAAACAAAGTCCCAAACCAAATAGGGTAAACTCTGTTCGCGCCCTGTAACAGATTCCGACCCAATTGGGTTCGAACCGCAGAAGTAAGGGTGGGAGAAAATAGCTCCTAGTAGTTTAACATCACAAGGTAAGGGTTCAGTCCCAGCACGCATGGCGACGTTGTGAACTATGTTCCCACCTGCACTGTCACCCCCGATGAAAACTCTTTGGAAATCACCGTGGCGAATCAGCCATGGATCTTCATTGGAAGCGTTGTTTTGGGTGGAATGGGCCGCGACCCATTTGAGAGCGTCCCAGCAATCGTGGTAACAAGCAGGGAGAGGGTGCTCCGGGGCGAGCCTGTACTCCACGGAAACCACTATGCTGTTTGTCTGAGAAACGAAGGTGTTGAAGTAGTGGTGATAGAGTTGGGAGAAAGCAGATTCGAAGAAGAATCCACCACCGTGAAAGTAGACCAAGATGGGAAAATTCTGAGGATGGTCTTGGTCGTTGATTGGGGTTAATTTTGGAAGGTAAATTCGAGCTGAAACAGGGGGATTTTGTGAGATGACGATGTCTTTGGACGAGACCCCTGTTCGAGAGTCATCTATCGAAGGTGGCACAAAGGGTGCTTGTCTTGGTCTTTCGACGGTGCCGTCACTAAAGACTCTGATATAGGTAGGTATCTCTGCAACGATCTCTTTGGGGTTTGTGGAAGCCATGGTTAGAAAGAGAGGAGTTTGTTTGTTTTTTTTTTGTTGAAAGCGAAGAGGCAGGGTTAGGTTTATATAGAATTGGATGAACGGTGACACAAATGGAATGAGAGAGAAGTATACGCTGGCAACCATTTTTTTATATAAATATCTATTTAACAATTTTTTTATTAATAGAATTTTAAATTTTTATATTTATTATTAAATAGGTAATAAGAAAGAGGTTTAGAATGAATGAATTATATAATATCTATTTTAACAAGAATTTGGCTCACAATAGGGATATGAGAGCATCATTATCTATAAAAAATTAGTACATTAAGGTTGTTTGACAGCATCTACAAAAATAATATTTTATTACAAGTTTTATATTTAAAAAAAATTATTTAAAATTAAAACAAATTATTTATATAAATAATTTTGATCAAGATTATAAATCACTCAATTATAAAATCTATAATAAAATATTCAATTTTATTTTTAAAAAATAATTTTTATTAAAAACTCTATTTAAATATGCTATTATGAAGTAAAGTTACTTGCTTTATATAAAAAATAAAAGAGTGTTGTGTCGTAATACTACCGGAAAAGTGAATAAAGAAAAGAAAAAAGTTGAATGGTGAGGAAAACATAAGAAAAACAAGTGTCGGGAAAATTAAGAAGTTTGTCTCTGATATTATTTTTCTATCAAATATGGACAAATAAATAAAAATAATACATAATTTATTATATCTCATTTTATATCATATATTTTTTAAGATATTATCTTTTTATAATTATTATAATAATACATAATTAAATAAAAATATTAAAATAATATGCAAAATATTGAAAAATTAATAAAATAAATTTTATTTTTATTCTTTTTTTTTTCAGTTAAAACAATTTTATTATTATTGTTTTCTTCTTTTTCCCTTTCTCTTCGATCCAAACGCAGCCCAATGGTCCATTATGCTGTATGATTACAATTTTTTTCATCTTATTGACTTTTCAGCAATAAACATTCAACGTTAAGATTTTATACATATTTCATTCCCACTCTGCATATAACGTAGCTGTAGAGATTCTGCAGACATGGGCCACAGAGTCCAGACAGACACATGGCCCACACCTCTATGATAAGAAAAATAATAATAACAATAATAATGTTATGTGATATGGTATCCCAAAAACCGAAGATTCTAGAAATATATATATATATATATATATATATATATATATATCATCGTTGATATTTTGTTGCATGCACTTGTGGTTTCCCCTTACCAGATATATTTTCATTTCAGAGATATTCATCAACAATAACTGAATCCAGCACAAATAATATAAACGATTGTGAGTAAAGGAAGAAGTAGGGTGCGTTGATAAGCTTCAAATTACAGGACAAAGATAAGTAGTAAAAAGTTGTTTATTCAAATGATATAAATACTTTTTATTACAGACACGAAAGGGAGAGAATAATTCTTATTGGTGACTTATTCACCGTCTAGTTAACGAGAAAAGAAGCCATGAGGTTGATCAATTTGTGAGCATTACGAGTATCTTGATTGAGTGAAGGTTTGAGCAAATGGTAATCATGATCCTCATCTTTCTCTTCAAAGAGTTGAATTTGGCCTTGCCACCCACTCTTCTTCACAGCCTCATAATACCAGACACCTCTGTCCCTCAACCCATCCTTTTCAGCAACACAAACCAAGATTCTAGAACAAGCAAGTTGAGCCAGGCTAGGAGCCCCAGCAGCCAGAGGGTTAATGAAGGGGTTATCAATGCCACCCGGTGCAGATGGGTACACCAACTTCCAAACCAGATTGTAGAAGTTCTGGTCGAGCCCGGTTACAGGTTCAGAGCCTACAGGCTGCGAGCCATAGAAATAAGGATGCGCCATAATAGCGCCCAGTATTTTAACATCCCCAGGCAAAGGCTGACGAAAGACAAGAATGTTATGGACGATGTTGGCACCAGCACTGTCTCCTCCTATGAACAGTCTGTTGAAGTCAGCGTGGTGAATCAACCATGGGTCAGTGTTAAGGGTGGGGTAGTTGGTAGTGTTAGAATGTGATGCAACCCATTTGAGAGCATCCCAAGAATCATCGTAACTTGCAGGGAGAGGGTGCTCCGGGGCGAGTCTGTATTCTACGGAAACCACTAAAACTTTTGCCTGAGAAACCAAGTTGAGGAAATGGTGGTTGAAGAGTTTGGAGAAAGCGGATTCGAAGAAGAAGCCACCCCCGTGAAAGTAGACGTAGATGGAAAGTTTGTGAGTCTGGGAATCGGTGATGTGTGGGAGGTAAATGCGGGCAGAGATTGGTTTTGGAGGGTTGTTTGAGATTGCAATGTCCTTGGACGAGACTCCAGTGTTAGAGTCATGGAGGGTGGGTGGAACGATCGGAAAATCGCGTGGGCGTTCCACGGTCCCGTCAGTGAAGACGCGGATCCACTCCGGAATCTCGGTAAGGATCTGTTTGGCATCGTTGGTTGTGGAAGCCATTTGAGTTGAAGTTGAAGTGATGGTTGGTGGTGGCAGTTGTTGGAAAACTAGGCATTGATATATACGGGTCCAGCCTCTCCCGCAAGAGACGTATGCAAAATGAAGAAGACTTTGACCACGTTGGATGTGTGTTTCATTCTCAAAAATTACAACTCATTATATGATATAATATATACCATGTAAGAAATAACATTCACACTACTAAACTTATTATTATAATAATCATCACAAGGTTTTATAAATATAAAATAAAAGTAATTTATAATTATTATAATTATATTATTAGATGAAGTTGTTGAATGAAAGTGGATCAAAAGACTCAGTTGTTTTTTTATCAATCTTTCCCTACAATATAATGTATTATCAATCAAATATTAAATAACTGGTCAAAATATTATTTTTGTTTGATACTTATTAGGTCATTATAGTTATTAATTTTAATTTTTATAATATAATAAAACTTATGAATCAAATATTATTTAAACCTTTTTTTATGAATTTATATATGATTTAATCTTAGATAACACTATATAATATCATATGTGATTATTATGATCTATTTTATCATTATAATTTATTATTTTCTTTTCTTTTCATAAAATGGAAATATTGAATTTTATTATATTTGGAATATTACGTAGTATATGTCATTATAACTTTTAATATTAAGTAATTTTTTTTCATATTTACACCAATTTTTTTTATCATTGAGAATTTTAATAATCAATAATTTTAATAAATTATTATAATAATCATTAATAAGATTTAATAAATCATTAGAATCATTTATAAAATTTAATTAACTATTATAATCATAATAAGGCTTAATGTTCATACAATTTATAATTGTTAAAAAGATTTAATAAATTATTATGATCATTAATAACATTTAATAAACTATTAATAAGGATCATTGTATTGTATGAAGTAAATGATCAATAAGATGTTATTAAATTTATTTATTTTTTTCAAAAATTATCTAACTTTGTAATAACATTAAAAAAATTATTAATTACGAAAATAAATCTAACCCACTTTATTTACTAAAGTAGACTTATTTATTTATTGTACAGATGAGAATTCAATTTTCAACTTGAATGTGTGACGCTGAAACTATAGAAGCAGTCAGAATTTTAAATTACGTGTTTTTTTTTTCAACCGCTTATATTTATGACTTTTAATATATATATATATATATATATGATATAAGTAAAAATAATATACAAAATTAAATTTTTAATTTCATCAACATCTTCTATTTATTATTTATTTTATATTATGAATTTTTAAATTATTTTTTGGAATGATAAAAGATGAGTTTAAAATTAAATACTCTTTATATTAATTATTTTAACATCTAAGATCCAACATTTATTTACAATATTATAAAATCTTTATAAATAAAATATTATTCTTTAAAAAAATTAAAAAATATAAATACAAATAATGAAAACTAATATATACTAATAAAATAAAATAAATAATATAAATAAAAATAATATTAAAATAGGATTAATGCATAAAATAAAAACGCGATTAACATCACCTTACTTATAATTATCATTATAAATAAAATAATTATAAATAATACTACAATATTTTACCAAGGTATATATATATATATATATATATATATATATATATATATATATATATATATATATTTCTTTTTTTCATAACCTCTTCTATATATATCAATAAAATTTAATTTAATTTTCATTTTTTTAAAATTTAATAAAAGGATAAATTTTGATTTATTTATTTGTTTGATACTTGTCTCTTTAAAAAAATTCTTATTTTTTTAATAATTAGAAATTATATATGATAATTTATTTATTTTTAATAATAATTATTATTTATTTTTAAATAAATATTTTGTTATTATAAAAAAATTAAATTACTTAAAAATATTTTAATTTAATATATTATATTTTCAAAATTTTACTTAATAAATTTTGTCGTGTTACTGCAATTAAATGGATACACTACTATTGAAACAACCATTAATGATAACTCATATGTTAAACAATTTCTTCTTATGTCTCAAAATTTAATGCATTAATCTACCCAATCTTCAATTAATTTTGTGCACTTTAGAGAGGAAAATCCTTGTAAAGAATATGTAAGAAAAAGATATGAAATAGAATCTTCTTTTTACTTGAGCACTGATCCAATCGAATAAAATGATATATGATTTAACTCAAATTTAAATAAACTTATCCGCTTATTTAATTTAATTCAATGAATAATTTTACAAATCTATATGATTTAATTTAATAAATTTAACTCAAACAGAGGCTTTATTATTACAAAAATTTAATAAATTTAACTTAAATTTAATAAATTTAAGTGAATACCCGATCATATATATAATTTAATTTCTGATATTATTTAAATTAAATTACTGATATTTAATTTCTTTTTTAACAAAGAAAATTCGGATCTAAAAGTTGAATTGGTGTTTAATAAACTAATATTTTTATAATATAATAAATTTATTAGTAATAATATTTTTATAAACAAATATTATTTTGATAAGTTATAATAAAATTTATAAATATAAAAATATTAAAAAAGTAAAAGATAAATAATTATAAATAAAAAATATATATTATATTTTTTATAAAAAATTATATTAAAAAAATTTAAGTTTAAATTTTTTTATTAAAGTCGATTCGATCTACAAACCAAATTGATTTTATTGATTTTGTCTCAGTTTAACTAAAATTCAATTATTTAAAATTAACTTACCTTGAAATCCAGATCCCTATTCAACTAGTTGTTTAGTTCAATTTTTAAAACAGTAATTAGATTGAGATAAAGATAATAAATATTTCGATTAATTTTAGTAAAATCTTATTATTTGATGGCAGGATAAAAATAATTAAGATATCAGTATTCATTGTTATTTCATAATCTTCTTGATCCGTTTCCCTGTATGAACTAATATTATGTACGGTTGCAAAGAATTTTTAATGTATATGAATTTATATTAAACCCAATGATGATTGTCATTCTTAACAACCCTTACAATAATCTTGTTCCTACAACAACGAGTGCATGATCATGTTTCTATCTTCCTTTTCGATCATTACTACGACTAGGGGCATTTCTATATATATATATATATATACTTGTTTCTTTATTTGTATTTTTATTTTTTTCAAACTTTTCTTTTCCTTTAGATAAACGTTTTATTAATTTTGTCATCCTAAGGCCAAGGTTTAAGATGCTCGGGAACACCACAGAGTTTATTGTCACTTGCTGGACTTACAACCTAAACTGGTTCACCAACGCTCATCTATCCTCAAAGACTCTTAGACAATGTTCGATTAATAAAAAAAATTTCTATTAAAAAAGTTAAGTTTTCAAAAAATAAGAATTCAGAAAGAATAAACAGGTATTCAAACAAAGTACATCATGAACTAATTATTTTAGAAATAGAAAACCAACTTAATAAATGGATCCTTCCAAAACTAGAAATATCAACTATCTATAAAAAAAAATGAAAATATAAGTTTAAATATGAATATATAGTAAAAATAATAGACAAAGAAATAGAACTCTTATCGAGTCATGAAAAAATACCATTAATAACTAAAACTTTAATTGCCGAACATATAAAAGAATATAGATATCTTCGTATAGGATCTATACAAACAACAATAAAACCTCTGTTGAGAAAAGGAATAGATACCCCCATGTTTGTTGCTTTAAGAGATAATAGATTAGTGAAACTTGAAAATCAAATATTAACAATGTTTGAAACAAATCTTCATAATGAACAAGTATACATAAATAATTATCCAAATTATTCAATAGCCCTTAAAAGTCTTCATAATACGGAAAATAATATACTACTAGATATAAAAATCCCCGAAAACGTATGGAATCCAAAATCAATATCGATAACAATAATATATAGAATTTATTATAAGATAATGAAAACTCAATTAGCACTAGGAGCCCTATTAATGTCTCCAAAAGATGAAACAACTATGTTATTAGTAAATCCAGAAAAAAGAAAAGAAAAAACAACTAATTAAAAAAAGTTCTCTCAGAATAATAATAAGAACATTCCTAGAAACTTTAAAAGAAAAATAAGAAAAAACCCCTCTACAAGTAATAATCAACCTAATACAAAGAAATGAATAATTTGTTATAAATGTGGAAGATATGGACACATGAAAAAAGATTGTAGAGTCCGAGAAAAAATACAAAACCTAGAAATGAGTGAAGAGACAAAAAATAAAATAACAAAAATATTGTTATATGAGTCAGAAGAAGACATTAATAATTTAATAGAAACTAATAGCGAGTGAAGATGAACCTACTACTAATCTAAGTGAAAATGAGAATGAAGAAAATTGTGACTGCATATTTAATATTAATGTTTTAACTACAAAAACTAAAATAGCTTTAGAAATGATAGATAAATTTCCAAATGAAGAAGATAAGTTAGAATATTTAACTAAATTAAAAACGTTAATATTAAGTGAAAAAGAAGCGAAAGCGTGTCGATGAAGTAAGTGGGTATGATTTTTCAAAAATATTACGAAAGACAATAAATAAAGAAAAACCTGTACATTTACAAGATTTACAAAAGGAAATAAGTCTTCTAAAAGAAGAGATAAAAGAAATTAAAATTCAATTAGTAGAATTAAAAATAAAAAATGAAATACAAGAAGAAAAAATGAATATTATAAATAATCAAACTATCTTACATAATGAATCAACGTTTGAAAAAGTTAATCAACTAAAAATTTTACAACAAAAATGACATATAAAAGCTACATTAAAAATTGGAAATAATTTTCATAAACAATTTACAACTTTAGTGGACTCGGAGTCGACATAAATTGTATAAGAGAAGGATTAATACCTACTAAATTTTATGAAAAAACTTTACAAACCCTAAGAACCGCGAATTCTGAAAAATTAAAAGTAAAATATAAATTGTTAAATGCCAGCATATGTAATAAAGAAATTTGTTTTAAAAACACTTTTATATTAACTCCTGATATTAGTGAAGAAATGATATTAGGAACCTCATTTCTAGCATTAATATACCCTTTTGAAGTATCCGAAGAGGGAATAAAACATAAAAACATTTTATTCGAATTCATTAAACCCATAAAAAATAAAGAGATAAAACTAGTTACTGAAGTAAATGAGGAAAATTTTCTATTAAAATTAGAAGCAAAAAATAACCACATAAAATATTTAAAACAAGAAATAGTATACAAGTATGTGCAGAAGTACCTATAGCTTTTTGGAATAGAAACATTTTTGAAATAGAATTACCCTATGAAGAAGGATTTTTAGAAAAGAATATTTCTACCAAAGCTAACCCAGTACAATTAAATAAAGAAACATTAGAATATTGTAGAAAAGAAATAAAATCTTTTTTAGATAAAAAACTTATTAGACCTAGCAAATCTTCTTGGAGTTGCAAAACTTTTTACGTCCAAAATGCATACGAAATAGAAAGAGGAGAACAAAGAATGATAATAAATTATAAACCTTTAAATAAGGTCTTAAAATGGATTAGGTATCCATCCCTGCCTAATAAAATTGAATTAATAAGTAGAATTTATAATGCCAATATATTTTCTAAGTTTGATATGAAAAGTGGATACTATCAAATTAAATTAAAAGAACAAGATAAATATAAAACTGCTTTCATAGTACCATTTGGGAAATATGAATGGAATGTAATGCCTATGGGTCTAAAAAACGTTCCTTTTGAATTTCAAAAAATAATAAACAATATATTAAAGCCTTATTCAAAATTTGTCATCGTCTATACTGATGATGTATTAATATTTTACGAAACCATAGAACAACATAAAAAACATTTACGAATATTTAAAAATATCATAAAAACAAATGAAATGGTTATATCACAAAAGAAAATAAAACTAGCACAAACCCGGATTAGATTTTTAGGTCATGAAATAAATCAAGGAACTATAACTCCCATTAAAAGAAGTATTGAATTTTCGGAAAAATTTCCTGATGAAATAAAAGATAAACTGCAATTAGAAAGATTCTTAGGATGTTTAAATTATGTATCAGAATTTATACCTAATATTCGAATAATATGTAAACCCCTCTTCAATAGATTAAGAAAAAATCCCAAACCATGGATTCCAGAGATGACTAAAATAATAATTAAAGTTAAAAAATTAGTTAAGACCTTACCTTGTCTAGGAATACCAAATCCCGAAGCAAAAATAATTATAGAAGTTGATGCTTCGATATAGGATATGGAGGCATTCTAAAACAAAAACTAAAAGAAAACCCAGAACAAATAGTAAGATATCACTCGGGAATATGGAATGATGCTCAAAGAAATTATAGTACTATTAAAAAAGAAGTTTTAAGCATTGTCTTAAATATCCAAAAATTCCAACATGATTTAATAAATAAATTTTTTTTATTAAGAGTTGATTGTAAATCTGCTAAAGAAATTTTGGAAAAAGATGTAAAAAATATAGTTTCAAAACAAATATTTGCTAGATGACAAAGTTTATTATCCTGTTTTGAATTTGAAATAGAATTTATTAAAGGAAAAGAAAATTCGTTACCAGATTTTCTAACAAGGGAATTTTTGCAGGGCCATAACCATGACAAACCCCTCAAAAACCCCAACTTCATCTGAAAAAGGAAAACCCGAAAATGGACAAAAGTCATCTACTTTGTTTTTAGATGACTTTGCCCCTCCATATTCAAAAGCTATGACTACTAGAATACTTCCTACATCCATAACCACTCAATCGAATAGATTTATCCCTTTGACCCCCCAAAATCCTCAACATCCTCCCCCTGAAAAAACTCCTAAGAAAGAATTTCATATAAAAGAGGGATGTCAGAAAATTATCATTTTAGAAGAAGAGTGGAATCCAGAAGACATTTATAGAATACTTAAGAAGCTAGCTCCTCCAGGTTGGAGTTGGATTCCTAAATCTGAAAATTTGAAAAAGACCAAAAAATTTTACCAATTTATTTTAATAGACACAGGATCTGCAGAAATAACCCTCATTCCAAATGAAAAAGATCCTTCTATTATAAGTTACTCAAAATTACGCATCATTAAGATCATTTCATATCAAGAGTGGAACCAACACCCATTTACAAGAGCTTTTTGAGGCCCTTTGACCCTCCTTCGTATAACTATTTTGATTACCAAGAAGCTTGGACCAAGATATTACTTGATACCAACCCTAGGCATTCCTGGTACATATGTTTTAAAAAGGAAATACTTACTATTTTACCAAACTGGTTCATTGACTGGTTTCATCAAATAGGCCCTGTCCAATCTGTAATCCCAGAAAAAATCATGAAAATATATCAAAAATATAAAGGCCTTACTCCTCAATACTCTCCTCACCTTCAAATAATAAAATTATGCTCAACCATGGGAATAAGTTGGCTTTTGGCCCACATTCCCGAAATCCATCAACATCGAGAAGAAACCTACCTAAAAACTCTTTGCTTAAAAACCAAAGTTTTTTGGTGGAAAAAATTCGAGGCCCAATATGTCGAAGAAAAATTCGAAAACTGGAAGAAAATGGACCTTATCTCATAGAAAAGCCCAATCCAAAGAGAAATATTATCCATAAAAGAAAAAGGAAAAGCTGTTATCAACTTATCAAACCTCCCTTCCTAAAAAACCGAAAAATCCCAATTAAGACAAAAAATGATTGAAGCCTTATCCTCCTTAGACTCTGATGATGAAGAAGAAGAAACAGAAGCCATTATTAATTTACAAGATGCTCAAGATCCATATGAAGATGAAGAAAACCCTGATTTTGACCAGTTCTAGCAATTAATTCCATCAGAATTAGTCAAGACGATTAATACCATTATGAAAAGAAGATCAACCAAAGAAGAGTTGCAAAGAAGAATTGATAACATTATAAGAAAATTGGAAGACGAAGATCATCAAGAATTCCCCTTCTAAGAGAAAGCATCTTAGTAAGAAGCTGGACTTAGATGACCCATCGCCCAATAGATGCTATGGTCTCATCCCTTGGAATAGAATCAGCTGGTTCTTTACTCAAAATGGGGCCCCACAAAGTTGAAAAACAAGTCATTGTAATTATGTTATTTTGTTTTTAGTGTCGGCCGCCGAAAGTAAAGGCGTGTCAATTGTAATTATGTTTTTTGTTTTTAGCATAAGTGTCCATTGTAATTATATCCTTTGTTGGCCACTTGTTACTATAGTGTGCCAGTTGTATGATTGAATAGGGAATCCATTAGGCCTATAAAAGAGTCAGTTGTTGAAGTAACATTTACAGCTCTTTTCGAGTCTTAAACTCTATCTTCCTCAGCCAATTCCTTCATAGCCTAAGTTCCCAGCCTTCCCTTCTCTCCTCGAATAATCTTGAATATTGTAAGCTTTCAGAAATTTTATAATACTATCTCTTTGTTCCCTTCTTTTACATTTTCTTCTCTTCCGCTTTTATGCGTTTTATGCGTTGGTACTGAAATGGTATATATATATATATATATATATATATATATATATATTTTTTTTTTGATATAATTAAAAATTATTATATTTATATATTTTAAATATTTTTATGTTTGTATATATATATATATATATATATTTAAATATAAGCATATAGATATTTAAAATATATTAATATATAATGATTAAATTATTATCATATACAACTCTATATAAATATAATAATATATACTTATATCATATATATAAATATACGTGTATATATATATATATAAATATTTATTTATTTAAAAAAAAGTAAAAAATATAAACCATTGAAAAAATAAAAGACGCAATTCGGAATTCTGATTATAGTTCCAGTCACATTTTCATTAGAAATTGGATTTCCGTAACTTTGCACTATTTGAATAAATAAAATGGATAAGGTTTTTTCATCATTAATAATTTTTTTAACATTATTTCAGACAAAAAGTCAACTTTGTTTAATAATAATCATTTCTTGTAAACCCTTTTTCTTGGGTTAACAGTTTTATAAATTTTACTGCAGAAATATATTTTTTAATAACTTTAATTCATTTGATAAGTTTTGATTTAAATTAAATTCTTTTCTTTCTTTCTTTTACTTATTTTTAAATTGATAATAAAATTAATTTCATATTATAACAGCTGCCATCAATGGATAATTTCTTCATATTTTTCATATTATAATTTCTTTTACTTTTTTTAGTTAGCTTTATATATATTATATTTAATTAGCATATTATATTCTATTTGGCACCAGCTTCAGGAATAATACTATAGTTGCTGACTTGCTGCATAATAAGAAAAATAATTAGAACATCATCAACATGCCTTCAATGAATGAATATTTCAATGAATTGAAGGTATTTGCAACAATAATTTAAAACACATTTCCATGTCAGATTACAGGATTTAATAGTCAGGCAAAAGTTACCCCAGCAGCACAATTTGCTTGCAGAAAACTATATTTTGGTCCATATATACATTAGGGAAACAATATTTACACCTAAAATCATAAAGTTAACAATGGTAATTCCCTGAACGTAGGCATCTGGGAGAAAAACCGTGAAGTCATATAACCATCACATTGCATGAGAAAAAAAAATGTTCGTGAAGGTCACATTTGCTATATCTATGATAATGAAGTTACAGACCAAAAGGGGGGTACACCTCGTTTAAAAAGAAGAAAAGAAGCATGACTCGAGCGTTAGATATTTCTTTTAGCCGAGCTGTATATCGCATACAGGAGACCCCTTCCTGGTACAACAAAAGGAATAACACCTACTACATTCTGTACAACACAATCGGTTAGAGGTCAAGAATAGAATGGGAGCATACTACAATCGGTTGTTATGGGAGTTGGCTTTTGTAAGAGCTTTAACAAAGTAATTGCGGATCTCTGGTATTATACGCTGAATCAGAAGAGTGTGCCTGCAAACAGAAATATAAGGTGAACAATCAGCAACCTCCTGATGCTGAACTATCCACAAGTTTATTTCAAACTATTTATAAAACACAACTATATATACACGGAAAATGACTCGCTATACAAAACACAACGCACCCAAAAAAAAAAAGGCAGTACATTGCTCTTCATGTTTTATAAAAATATCAAATCCCTCTTATCTGATCTGAATACGGTACAAGAAAAACAACCATACAAATAAACCTTCTACTTGCAGCTTAATCTTTAAAGAAAATAATACTTTACATTTAATTAAGAAAGGAATGTTGGAGTACAAATTCATCTACATCCACTAAATTATTGGACCCCCCAACCACACAAGAAACATTGACGACCATAAATCTATGCATGAAAAATTTATGATTCCCAAGGACAACTCCTTTCTGATTTTTAGATACAATATAGGCTTGTATATTTGTTATCTACACCAGTGACATCAGTCAAGTACTGGGGAATATAACTGTTTAATTAAAAAAAGCATTGGGATTAAAAAAAAAGAAAAAAGAAAAAATAGATCAGTGACATTATTCAATTCTCAAGATCCAAATTCGTTGAAGTCAACAACATTCTTCACCAAACAGCACGTACAACAATATACTAAACCAGATAACGAAGTTCTTATACATAGATGCTAACACATCATGGAGGTAATAAAACGCCCACAAGAAGTAAACATGGGAAATTAGGGAATCAGATCAATACCCTGGCCTTGCACTCAATTTATCAAATTGCTCCAAGATAAAAAGGATGCATGCATGCCGCAGTGATATTGCATTGAAGGCTTCTGAAAGTTCGTACATACTTGAAACATTCTCTAGTGATATATCCTGTGACAAAAACATGGGTAAAGAGGAACCTACTTTCAAGTCTAATATTTATTAGAGGGATATATATATATATATATATATATATATATATATATATATATATATATATATATATATATATATATATATATATATATATATATATATATATATATATATATATATATATATATATATATATATATAACTGATTTTCCTAGCTCACCTGTGCAATTGTGTACTCACAGAGTCTCTTAAGTCCTTCCAAAAGATATTGATCAGCTGCTGGAAGAAGATCTTGAGCAATATCCAGAGTGAGCTCAACTGATCCACAATACACAAATCTGGAGAAAGATCAAACAAACAAACAAACAAGCAATGAGATATAAGATGCCATAAATTATTGGAAGCATTCACAGAACAAAATTGAATAAAACACATGACTGCAGAATTTAGTAGACCTCATCATCAACTCAAAAACCTCCCATCTAATATTTGGAATCTCTATGTCCCTTGCCTCCTTCTCCTGCCATGCAATAACAAACATGTTTACATCACATCACAGACATGAACTATCACTTTATGCTTCAAATCAGAACACAATTATTGGTAATTACTTACTTAATATTAGATTCACCATCCAAAACAACACCCAAATCCATAAGTGATAAATAATATACCTCATGAAACCAAGTGGAGTCAATAAAGGAGTTCCTTTTATGACCAACACACTTGTTTTGTAATAATGTAAAGGAATTAAAAGAATTGCTTCTTGTGGTACCCTTATCAATTGGAGTGGCTTAAGGAGTGGGGGGGAAGGAGAAAGATGATTCATGGGTAAAGTAAACTCACCCTGTAACCACCATCAAACATTGCACGAAATGCATCTGAAGATGCAAGTAGACAAATTCTATGTGCATAAAATCGCTTGCCTGCAACGAAGAACAAAGATCACCTAGTGAACTTCACATGTAAACCGAAGCTACAACACCACATTTCAGGGAAGGTCTACAATTTTAAGAATGAAACAATGAAGACAAAAAGCATCAACCTTCAACCAAAAATGTAACGTCAGACAATGTAGAGTTGTTTACATACTGCTCTCCTAAATAGACCTGCAAGATAAATAGTGGTTGATCATAAACATACCAGGTTTTAGAAATCCTTATTCCAGATCATTTAGAGAAGGCAGAGTGAACAGGGAACTTGGCATCTAGATTCTTATGCATGTGGCAAAAGCATATAAAAACAGCAAGCATTAATCCAGATGACTGCTGACTACTAGATCATTAGATGCTCGTCATATAAATAGACCATGTATTAAAAAATAGCCATGTCATCAGTCATCATATAATACCAAATACAAATAATATAAATCTATTAAAAAGTCATTGTTATTGGCTACTAACAACTAAATATGACACCAGGCTTCGAAGAAATTAAAATAGCAAAGTATTTCTTAACGCGGTACTTCACATTCATATAATCAAATTACACTTATTACCTAATTGAATGTGTATAAAGATCTTACCAGTAATGCAGGTTTATGCCTAAAACTGTGGATGCAACAATTTCCCATTCCGATAAATGAAAGTTGAAGGAAAAATAAAACTTGTGACATCAAATTACATATAGCCCATTGTGATCAGTGGAAACATTTTCTTTTATAATTAAATTCTATGCAGTGACATTGTGAAACCTGATGACAACTCAACTGGTTTTACCTGTGGTGTTGGAGAAAGAGGAGGAGCATCCACAGGAGACAAGGTCGAGGCTTTATTAGCCAACTTGCATAAAGCCATAGCACCATCAAGTTGCTGCTTAGAGCTGGATGAGACAAGAAGCCCAATAAGCAACTCAAGACCTGCATGGACAGATGCTCAGCTTCAAAATAGACAAGTAAAAATAGGAGTTTATAAAACAATAAAAAATGTGAACCAAACCCATGAAAAATATTTCACCAAGAAGATGCATACCGTGGTGATCAATAAAATTTTTTCTCTGATCATCTGGAGAACAAAGATGCGCAAGAGCCAAAGCAACTCGTCTTTGACAACCCTTATCTGAAACTCGCATGAGATATAATAAATGGTTCAGCACCTACAGAAAAGAAAAACATCACATTACAAATTTGAATACAGAAATAAAACTGATAATCTATAGTAGTCAGTAGCACTCCCATCATTTTAAAGATGGCAAGTATTAACAACCAAAAGCAGAGCAGAAAGTATAGTGAATTACACGCCCCTGAATCTTCTCCTCTAATCTTTTCAATGTCTTGGCTACACAATCTTTGGTTGCCTACAATAAAACTCAATTCCATACAGGTCAATATAGGTACAAGATGAATCTATTTTCCTTCAACTACAATTATTCAAATGAAATCATGAAGTATTTTAATGTCCTTTAATAAAGGCATCAAATGGTAAAAGCAGAAACTCAAGCTAAAGTATGTATTGAAGAGAAAGCTTACTTGAACAATAAATTCCCCATCTTGCAGTCTCTGAACTCCACCTACCCTAATGAAATCGGACACATTATCCTACGGGACAAAATAAAATGAATGACCCAAAAACAGAGAATAGTTAATTAACTTAAGTGTCAAAGTAACAATTATGTTAGGCAGTGAAGACAAAATCTTCATTTCAATCAAATTCAGTTATATCATACCTCATTATCTGCAAGGCCATAAAGAGCAAAAGCAGCATTATGTTGCAAAGACCCATTTTTTGAGTCAAGAAGCTTGAGCAATGGCACTAAGCCACCATTTTGAGCAATACCAGCCTGGTTATGTGCATCCTGAAATCAAGAAAAATATATATTTATATTCGGCCAAAAGAAATGCATAAAAAGAACCAGCAATTGAACCTGTAAACATAGGTGCATAGTAGTTGTATATAAAAAGGTGTAATATACCATTGAGATTATTTTCATTCTCAGAGATAAGCCCATTACATATAACAATATGGGGATTAACAAGAACATGGAAAAGTATTAAATGTGCTCCAGATCAAAATACTATTATGCAGAGAAAGAAAATGCTAACTTATTTCCAAGGATTTAATGGAAACTATACATTCCAAACTAATGCAAGTGAATTACAAACGGGATAAAGGAAAAAAGAAAAGAAAAGGAATAACCTGGGCTAATCTCCCCAATGCAAAAGCAGACATTTCCCTGAGTTGTACATCAGACGACTGAAGCATTTCTATTAAGGGTTGGACAGCACCTCTCTGTACAATGTGAACCTAAACCAAAGTAGCACCAACAGTAATTAAAACTAAGGGCAACATAATATATTATATGATACATCATAAGAGTAGGAACTATACTCCCCAGTACTGTATGACCATCGAATCATTATTTAACAAGAAGTAAATAAGGCAAAACAATCAAATTTGGAAATGGAGATGTCATTAAGCTATTGCTCCAACTAAAGTTCAGCTATGGATTGTTTCTTATCTCCCCCTCTTAATTATTCAGGTATACAACCATTATCTATATCTATCTCTCTCTCTCTCTCTATATATATACATATATAGTGTGTGTGCATATGTGTATGTGTATGTGTGTGTGTGTGTGTGTGTGTGTATAATATATAATATGAAGCTATTCAAACATGAAAACTGGCGTTATACACCCAATTGAAGTGTTGTTTTTGTCCTTTACATCCTCAAGCTTATGCTTACCTTGCAGTCTGAATCAGTTGCTGCAAATTGTCCAAGTAACAAGGCTGCTTCTCTCTGGCTTTCAGAGCAGCAGGAACTGTTAAATAAAGTAAAACATTATATACACTAATTGGAAGATACCTTTCAGGGAATACATTTGATAGAATATTATTGCCTTGAAAAAGGGTATATAAATAATAACAAAACAAATTCAGGGTAGGGGGTTGAAAGGGCATTGTAGTTTATTTATCAGGATCCAGAATTGAGAATAAACCTAAGTAATCCAATAACTGGCTGTAAAGCTCCAGCAAGAAGAACTTCTTTCTTTATATTAGGTGAAGAGTGGACGAGATTTCCAATCACACCAACCTGATATGCAATCCAAATCATAGCATGTGCCATATAAGAGATGTGCAAAGAAAGAGCTCATTATTGTTGCAAAATCTTGCATTTATTATCAATGCTTCACTACCCTTACCGCTTCATAGTGAACAGCAGCATCTTCAGAACGTAGCATTAAAATCAAAGTTGGAAGAGCATTGCATTCAACAATCTGGAAAATCATCATGTTGTGTGACTTTTTTGTAACATATCCAAACCCCAATTTTCAACAACTTACCTGATTTTTATTTTCATCATTTTTAAAAGCCAGAGTTCGTAGAGCACCAGCAGCTGCTCTTTGTACCTTTGCATCAGCAAAATCAAGCAAATGAACAAGTGGTGGAATTCCACCTTCCATCCTACAGATTCAGTCAAGATAATATTTAGAACAAATCCAAACTCAATTTTAAATATGGTAGCCCTAGAAGAAGACAAAACCTGACACGAGTTTTAATGCTGCTGTTTTCATGAGCAAGATTAGTAATAGCATCCGCAGCCCTACGAATGAGACTATTAATAGCACGAGACGTTAAGCCATTCTTGTGCCTCTTCAAAAGATCAACAAGATGAATTAAGGCACCACTGTCAACAATGAGATGTTGATGTTCTGGCTGTAGAAAGCATTTAAAATAAAATAGTAGTTTAGCACTTTTTTTTAACAGATAAAAAAAATATGCTTGAAGAAAAGTAAAAGTAAATCTAACAACTGCATCCAATTATATGAAATTATCACATATAAGCCATTCAAACTCCACTAAAACATGATTTGGTCATCAGTCCTACTCAATGCAAGTGATGGGCTTCACCAGTTACAAAGAAGGAGATGGACTATGCTTATATATTCACATCCCACAACCAACACTAAATTAATTTTGTAATTGACACTACAGGGTACATAAATTTCCATTTAGAAATCAGCAGTATCTCACACACTTCCACAGTTCCTAACAAATATTACGGACCTAAAAGGGCATTGCTTTCGATGGTAGATTTTCATTAGGACCAAAGGAGACAGTCCCCCACCCAAATTTATTTGTTCTTTGAATCTAGGAGGGACATTTGCTTTAATTAAGCATTTCAATAAAATTTGACCCACCTCCATTAAATCAAAAGAGGGTTTTTGTACCAAGAATATGTTTAAGAACACCTCCTTTTCTTCTACCCTTCATTCAATGTATTGAGATTTGATTCAATTAGTGATCATTTAAAAATTTTAAACAAGTTTTCATCCAATACTTATTCTAAAGCATCCAAATTATTTGAATCTTGCTAGAACTAATATTGTAAAATTAGCAGATCCCACAGTTTATAAGTTTTGGTCATTTTTTATTAGCTAAATGTCACTGTCATCTTTTTCAAGAATTACCCCATCATCTTTTCCCCCCTAACTAACTTATCCACCCCAACCCTATATTTTTTGTCCTCTTAAAAAATCGTAAGTGAAGTTCCACCACTGCTGACCATCATCAAAAACAATGGAGAAAGGGGAAACTTATGGTAAGCTACATGACTCAATCTCTAATAAATAAATTATTCCTACTAACCCACAGGTGCGTAGTTTAATATGGCTTATGAAATTAGTTAATAGAGTTAAAAGAAGATTTATAATTTAGTGGGATGCATACCTCTCCTCTATGATCTCATATATGTATAGGATTACAGTATTTAAAAAACAATCACCAATCACCAACTACCAACTACTAACCGCTACCTAATAATAATTCTAACACTCCTCCTCAAGCTAGAGGATACAAATTGTATGTGTCAAGCTTGGAACAAATAAATTCAATTCGAGGTCCTCTCAAAGACTTTGTCAACACATATGCACGTTGATCATTAGACCTAACAAATTCAGTGCAAATTTCTCTAGACAATAATTTTTCACGAATAAAATGACAATCAAGTTCTATATGTTTGGTCCTTTCATGGAACACCGGATTAGAGACAATGTAGAGAGCTGTTTGATTGTCACAATACATCTTCATCTGTTGGATCTCACAAAATTTCAGTTCTTGAAGGAATTGTTTCACTCACACTAGTTCACAAGTGAGAGACGTCATTGCTCTATATTCAGCTTCAGCACTAGACCGAACCACTACATTTTGTTTCTTGCTTTTCCAAGAAATAATGTTGCCTCCAATGAGAATACAATATTCTGTAGTGGAGCATCTGTCCATAGGGGATCCAGCCCAATCAGCATCACAATACCCAGATATTTGGGTACCCCTTTATCTTCATACAACAGACCTTGTCCTGGAGCCTTTTTGAGATATTTTAGGATGTGAATGACAACATTCCAATGATCAGTACGCGGATTTTGCATAAACTGACTGACAACTCCAACAAAAGATAGGTCAGGTCTAGTAATGGTGAGATAAATGAGTTTCCCAACAAGTCTTCTATATCTCTTAAGATCAAAGAGCGATTCACCCTGATCCACTATTAATTTCTGATTTGGATCCATAGGGCTGTCTACTGGTCTACAATCAATCATGCCTGTTTCTTTCAGGATATCTAAAGCATGCTTTCTTTGGGAGACTACAATGCCTTCTTTTGATTGAGTCACTTCAATCCCTATAAAGTATTTGAGACAACCAAGATCCTTAGTTTGGAAGTGATTGCATAAATGTTTCTTTAGCAGAAATTTTTTATCAACATCATCTCCTGTAATGACTATATCATCCACATATACAATTAAATAAACACATTTTCCTAAAGCAGTATAATAAAAAACAGAATGATCTGTCTCACTTCGTTTTAGTCCAAAACTTTGAACAATGTGACTAAACTTTCCAAACCAAACACATGGAGATTGTTTGAGATCATAAAGAGAACGATGTAACTTACAAACCAAACTAGACTCTCCGTGAGCAACAAAACCAGGAGATTGCTCCATGTAAATTTCTTTCTCAAGATCACCATACAAGAAAACATTCTTGATATTTAACTGATGAAGAGGCCAATGGATAGCTGCCATAGCAAAGAAAAGTCGAACAATAGTCATTTTTGCCACAGGAGAAAAAGTATCACTGTAGTCAAGACCATAGATTTGAATGTAGCCTTTTGCTATTAATTTAGCTTTGAGTCAATTAACTTCACATTTTGGTCCAACTTCAATGGCATAGGCCCAACGACAACCAACAGTCTTCTTCCTAAGTGGAAGAGGAACTAAGTTCCATGTACCATTGTGCTCAAGAGCCTGCATTTCATCAATCATGACTTGTCGCCATCCAGGATGATCAAGTGCCTCTTTCACATTTGTAAGAATAATAATAGTGGATACAGAAGAAACAAAAGAAAAATAGGAAGGAGACAATATGTGGTAACTAAGAAAATGGTAAATGAATGTAAATTATGAGTAGAACGAGTACCTTTGCGAATGACAATGGGCCAACTTTAATCATCATTATCAGAAATTGTGATATTAGGGGATGATTGAGAAGTGTTAAGGTTCCAACATAAAATCAATTGGCAATATGTGGAGTAGCCTAACATGTATTTAAACCATACCAAATGATATGAGGTAGGCGATGTGGGACTTTCAACACACCCCCTCCAACGAAGCCTGCCGGACCAGGCAAAGGGTACTTTTGACCCAACTAAAGGACAACTTTTGGCCCATGACAATAACCGGAAAGATGTTAGGCTTTGGCTCTGATACCATGTTAAGGTTCCAACATAAAACCAATTGGCAATATGTGGAGTAGCCTAACATGTATTTAAACCATACCAAATGATATGAGGTAGGCGATGTGGGACTTTCAACAAGAAGGATTTGTTGAGGAAGACTCATCTTGGGGCACGAGCCTGATCATTTGGCTCCTGAGTTGATAGGTAATAAGAGGTAGTGATGAGGATTCAGTGTATTTTGTGTGGAATTTTGGGTGTCAGGAGGAGGAGGTACAAATGGCTCCACTAAGGGTATAGATAGGACATTTTGGACCAAACTAATATCCTGCATTGAAGAAGGGAGTTGATTAAAAAAAAGTGGCATTAGCAGACATGTAGTATGTCTTGGTTTCAGGAGAATAACATCGATATCCTTTTTTAAGACGAGAATATCCCAAGAAGACACATTTGATGGCTCTAGCTGATAGTTTATCTAAACCTGAAGACATATCATGAACAAAACATACACAACCAAATACACGAGGAGAAACATGAAAGAGTGGCTCCTTTGGCAATAGAATAAGTGTGGAACTTTATTGTCAAGAGAAGAAGATGATATTCTGTTAATGAGAAAACATGCAGTAAGAATAATATCTCCCCCAATGATGAACATGCATATTTGCATAAAGTAATAAGGTACGAGCAATTTCAACCAAATATCTATTTTTTCGTTCTGCTATACCATTTTGTTGTGGTGTGTGAGGACAAGTAGACTGGTGTAAAATGCCTTGGGAACTTAAGAGAGTGGAGAAATCAGTAGAAAAGTATTCTTTGGCATTATCACTTCGTAAAACTTTGATTACTTTTTCAAATTGATTTTTGATTTCATTAAGGAAAGACATAAAGATAGGTAATAATTCAGAACGGTCTTTCACTAGATAAATCTAAGTACATCTAGAAAATTCATCAATGAAGGCAACAAAATATCTATAGCCAAAGGATGAGACACGACTAGGACCCCAAATATCAGAATGAACAAGAGAAAAGACAGAGTCATATCTAGATTTATAACATTTAGGAAAAGAGGACCTAGTATGTTTCCCTAGTTGACATAGTTAAGAGAGTAAAGAGAATGAAAAGAAGTTTTCTAATTTTGTGGGATGCTTACTCCACTCTATGATCTCATATATATATATATAGGATTACATCATTTAAAACAACAACTACCAACTACTAACAACCACCAACCACCAACTACTAACTACTAACCACTAACCACTAACTAATAATAATTCTAACACTTCCCCTCAAGCTGAAGCATACAAATTGTATGTACCAAGCTTGGAACAAATAAATTCAATTCGAGGTCCTCTTAAAGACTTTGTCAACACATCTGCAAGTTGATCATTGGACCCAACAAATTCAGTGCAAATTTCTTTAGACAACAATTTTTCACGAATAAAATGACAATCAAGTTCTATATGTTTGGTCCTTTCATGGAACACCGGATTAGAGGCAATGTGGAGAGCTGCTTGATTGTCACAATACATCTTTATCTGTTGGATCTCACAAAATTTCAGTTCTTGAAGGAATTGTTTCACCCACACTAGTTCACAAGTGAGAGATGCCATTGCTCTATATTCAGCTTCAGCACTAGACCGGGTCACTACATTGTTTCTTACTTTTCCAAGAAATAATATTGCCTCCAATGAGAACACAATATCCTATAGTGGAGCGTCTGTCCATAGGGGATCCAGCCCAATCAGCATCACAATACTCAGATATTTGGGTACCCCCTTTATCTTCATACAACAGACCTTGTCCTGGAGCCTTTTTGAGATATTTTAGGATGTGAACGACAGCATTCCAATGATCAGTACGTGGATTTTGCATAAATTGACTCACAACTCCAATGGCAAAAGATAGGTCAGGTCTGGTAATGGTGAGATAAATGAGTTTCCCAACAAGTCTTCTATATCTCTCAGGATGATCAGAGAGTGGTTCACCTTGATCCGCCATTAATTTCTGATTTGGATCCATAGGACTGTTTACTGGTCTACAATCAATCATACCTGTTTCTTTTAGGATATCTAAAACATACTTTCTTTGGGAGACTACAATGCCTTCTTTTGATTGAGCCACTTCAATCCCTAGAAAGTATTTGAGACAACCAAGATCCTTAGTTTGGAAGTGATTGCATAAATGTTTCTTTAGCAAAGAAATTTTATCAACATCATCCCCTGTAATGACTATATCATCTACATATACAATTAAATAAATACATTTTCCTGAAGCAATATAATAAAAAACAGAATGATCTGCTTCACTTCGTTTTAATCCAAAACTTTGAACAATGTGACTAAACTTTCCAAACCAAGCACGTGGAGATTGTTTGAGACCATAGAGAGAACGATGTAACTTACAAACCAAACTAGACTCCCCCTGAGCAACAAAACCAGGAGGTTGCTCCATATAAATTTCCTCCTCAAGATCACCATGCAAGAATGCATTCTTGATATCTAACTGATGAAAAGGCCAGTGACGGATAGCTGCCATAGCAAAGAAAAGTCGAACAGTAGTCATTTTGGTCACAGGAGAAAAAGTATCACTATAGTCAAGGCCATAGATCTGAGTATAGCCTTTTGCTACTAATCTAGCTTTGAGTCGATCAACTTCACCTTTTGGTCCAACTTTAATGGCATAGACCCAACGACAACCAACAGTCTTCTTCCCATGTGGAAGAGGAATTAAGTTCCATGTACCATTGTGCTCAAGAGCCTGCATTTCATCAATCATGGCTTGTCGCCATCCAGGATGATTAAGTGCCTCTTTCACATTTTTTGGAATAGTAATAG